TGTGTGCGTGTGCGTGCGTGTCTCAAACGCACACACTGTCTCTCAGTCACCACGTCGGTCACTCAACCAACAAGTCAATAATTGCATCAACCAGTCTGCCAATCACTCGCAACACCACCAATACAAACCTTGTCTACAACTCTCATCCACTATCTCTCTCTCTCTCACTCTCTCTCTCACTCACATTTATTCACTAATAACAACCAATACACACACCCCATTACGCACACTTCTACTCACTCATCACTCATCACCCATCACTCATCACCCATCACGCATCACTCATCACTCCTCACACTACTCTCAATTCATCTCATGCATTCTGTGTCGTCACCATACACATGCCACACACTCACTCTCTACACACATTCATTTCCCACTACTCCTTCTCAACAGGTGTCCATTCCGATTCCACATCCATTCCACCAGTCACCGACATCACTCATCCAACTCAGTCTGACCAAACCACATCCACGTCACACTTGGTCGACACCACGCCAACAATCTCCACTACAGCATTCCAGTCGACAGAATCAACCACACTGCAAACACCAGTCTCAACTCCAGTCTCAGTGTCAGTGTCAACATCACAGCACACACCTGAGTCCACATCACAGCCATCATCAGAGTCTACAGCAATGCAAACAGGTATGTATTTTATTTTCTCCTCACTGCGCTTAACCTGGTGTCACAGTCCTTTCCACTGATATCTGCCGTTTTGGTTCTTTGTAGGTTTTGTTGTTCTTTTGTCCTTTCACTCATGAATATTTGTTTCGAATTTTCCTCTTCACTTTTTTTATCTTTGCTTTACATCTTCTCTTTCTTCGCTATCCAGTTTTCGCCTTTTATTCATCCTTAGTTTTTCCGTCTTATTTATTTGTATTTTCCCTCTGTTATATGTTTGCGATTTCTTTTCATGGTTTTCTCCCCTTTTTATTATTCCTGAAATATTTTTCAATTATTTGTTTATTTACGAAAGATATAACATCCTGTGGACAGTCAACAATAGCAACCCTAACATGGAACGAATTCGAAAACTTCATTCTTGCACTCGAGCACAACCTCTAGACCTTTAAGTCGGCATACGATTGTTATCTTTTCTTTTACTTACTTCATTCAATTCTTGATATTTCGAGGAAGAGTGAAACTTGTGTGTTCGATTTCCACTGTCATTTTGTTTATGCACACTTTTAATAACTCATGTTTTGGTGCGAAATGCTTCCCCGCTTGCAGTGGTGGTTCACTTGATTCACTGCGTGTTTAAATGAATGTCAATCATTTGCAATAATGATGAAAGTATCCTAAGAAAATAATTATAAATAATATAATTGAAATATGTATTAAAAACGTTGACGGTACAAATGAGAATTTCATAACATTCAAAAGAGTAGGAACACGACTGAGGTAAAAAACAAACAAACATACAAGTGACATTTCAGAAAACTACAGAGTTGATGTTTACTCCAGAACTCGAACCTAGCACCGTTCACTTCGAACGATTTCGCGTTATTTACTTATCTCTTAAATTCAAATAACTAATACTCTGTTCCATGAGGTGAAGTTTCATTCATCTACATTAGTTTTCTGGATCTTCCCATTGACGTTTAGAACTGTAATTGACCAGTCTCTTGAGGTATAAGTGCATTATGTGTTGATTAATTCAACATTGTAATTAGTTGATATATATTTATTTTTAAGCATAGAGGAATAGACCATTACTCGAAAGTGTATTCACAAACATTATTCAGACAAAACTGTTTTGTCCAAGATCGAAGTTAACCAGCACTTAATAACCTGTGAACGGTGGCTCAATTTTTCGGATTGGTTGAAGTTAGATAGTAACACTGTTGAATGCCAGCTCAGTTGTCTAGAGGTTATAGGTTCACGCGCGAGACTGATAGCTTCTGGGTTCAAATCTCACGGGACGGAATCGTGGATGCGCACTACTGAGGAGTCACACACTAGGATGAAACGGCTGTCCAGTGCTTCCAGATTTTCCGTGGTGCTCTAGTTTCAAATGACTCATGAATTCAACTATAAAACATTACTAAAATCTCCACAAAACCCCTTCTGATAATAAATGCAAAATTAATGAACAGTTAACATTCTTTTAAATTGGTGAATTATATATGTTCACATTAGTTTAATATACTTGGAATTTTCACTTTTGAAATCACAAACTGATATAAAATAGACCACCATTAAAAACCTGATAACATGGGACTCCTCAACAGTTCTTATCCATAACCCTCACGCAGAAATCAAATACAAGACCTTCGATCTCATGTGTAAACGCTGAACATCTACTACAATCATTAAGCCTGCATTCAACAGTATTAGTGTCTAACCTTAAACAATCCATCATCTTTTCCAATATTTTCAATTACTAAATAAACTACTTACTTGAAATGATAATAATAAGAACAATCAATATTTTGTTATTCTTATCTTTCGGGAAATTAGTTTTAATAACAGCAATCTTCAGAGTTCAAGGAACACTTTATACTGGTAACAATTCAGATCTATATCTTTGGTCATCAGATTTAGCAAATCCATCAACAATAGAATATATAACATTGAAAATGAAACTTTGTACTTTTGTAAGTTTTTTCTTTGTATGATCTTATATTCATCAATTATTAAATAACAATATAATTAGGCTCATCAGTTTGAATGTAATTCCTAAATATTGTAACGCATAAAGTTGAATATTGTTAAATACACGACGGTTTCCGCATATATGTATTTTTTTTCATTCTTTTTGAGAATTTTTCTTTCATTACACAAAGCAAATGGCTATCAGAAATTAGTAGCTGAGTGAAGTTTGAAATGAACGGTACTTGGTTCGAATCTTGAAGTGAACATCAACCCTGAGATCCAGGTACATCCGGTCGACGAGTCTCCATTAGGACGAGACACGTGTGTTGAATTCCACTACTAAAAACTTTCCATTTTTACTTAGAAAGTTTGTGAATTAAAGTAATATCGAGGCAATAAGCACAGTATGCACATATGCTAATAACAGACCGATCAATCGCAGTCTCAATTCTTAATGACAAGCTTCAAGCAAACAATACCAAGTGGATTTTTTCATTCCATTTTCTAAATTTCTACATTCCGCTTTGTCCAATATAATGTGTCACACAAGGGCAGTCGAACTGATAAATACAAAACAAGGTGGTCATTCTAGGTGATTCATCTCTTAACCTCAACGCTACCCACAAGCGCCTAGAACAAACTAGTCGTAGTTCTCCATCATTGAATGGTTTTTGGATTGTTCTGTGTAGTCTTCTGGATTATTATTTCGCTAGCTGCATCCCTTCTCACTTGTAGGAGCATTAGGTCAAATGTATCTTTTAAATAAAACTTACAAAGTTCATTACAGATTTAGTTTAGCAAGTTAGCTAAACATTTTGTTATTTCATGTATAGTTGAGTTAGACATAGATAATATTGATCATAATGGATTATTAGGTTTATAAACTGTAGACAATCCATAAAAACTTGAGAGAATAGAACCCATATGTTTAGGCATATTAAACTTCATTTTTGTTTATGACATTCATTTAGGGAGCTCCATTATATTGGAATTTCGGCGAGGCTCTCATTTCTGGACGAGCCATTCAGAAGCGTTTGAGAGATTTTTAAGGTCACAGAACCAACCTCAGTGCCTAATGCTAACATACGATCGGTTCACAGTGGATTTTGTACAAAACGTGATAATCGAGCGGCTATAATAAATAAAACGGCAGGACTATAATTTGTGGAGGAATCAATCAAGTATAAGATCACATCTCGGATTTCGGCTCGAAAGCTTTTCATCCATTTGACTAATTAGATTTCTGGCATTCTAGCTGATGTCAATTCGTGATGAAAACCCTATATATAAATACTAACTAAGGCAATTTATGACAGTTATTGCGAACTGGATAATAAAAGCACCAGTAACACTGGTTGCAGCTGGGTACTCCAATATATACGAATCATTGGAGAGCGTACGAACGGCAAGACTATAATTTATGAACGACCTTTGAACGAATCTTAAGTGACCCTGAGAAATATTAACCAATCAGCAAACAGTCAGTATAGAACAAAAATATATTACACAAAACCAAACAAATAAGGTGGATACATTTCTTATACGTGATTCAAAAACTTATCAAGGTTAGAAAGAGGTTCAGAGGTCCTAAAATGGTGATGTATGCAATAGAGGAAATCATCCATATGGCTACAGAATAGTCGGCCTTTGGAGCCATGATAAAATCTCAAAAATTCTTTCAGCCTCGACCACATAGCTTCAATATTTTTGTGTGCACTCCGGTTGTTCAGTACACACAATGCTACTTGTGTATAACGAACTTAAAATATGTAAGGCAGAATTATTAAGAATGTTATGATTAATAAATTTTGATAGAACATACATTAAAGAGATAATATTCATGTCAAACTGTAATTGAAAATCAGTATCACAATCAAATAAACACTAAATCTTCGATTGTGTTTTGTAGTCTAAATGATTCATTTCAATACTAGGATTACAGTCTCACTTTACCGTATTTTGATAACATTTATTCCAAACCCTCAAATGCTCTAGTACGGCCGAGAGTAGAGAGAGTCACCTTTCCTCCAAAAACTCTCACATGACCACACGTATGCAACCACTGTCAGGGAAGTACTGCTCACTGCTATTTCTCATGGTCGTGGTGTTGTTTACGAAACTGAGAGGACCAAAATCGAATATCCCACTCTTTTTATACGGGTCAATGGACAAAGAGGATTCACCTAGGGGAGTTGGAAAACCCTGATTACAAACCAATGACACACATAGACTCTAAGGTCTTGAAGGAATAAATGTGATATCGGAACTGATTGTTAGTTACTGGTTATCATGAGACAGCATCTTCTCAAATCCCCTGTACTAATCAAAATCAAATAAATTAGGTTTCTTTTTGTATATCTATTTTATTATTTTATTCTAATTATTGTATTTTCTTCAATTAGATTATTGAACGTTTAAATGAAAGTTATTCTTCTATAATTAAAAATGCAAAATGTTCTAATGTAATCTTCATCCCAATAAATGTGAATAATTTACAAATAAGACAAATTAATTATACAAATCTCATTCAAGGTGTTCAAGGAATTGCTGATATTGAATTATTACTTATTAATACTACAAATATGAATGAAAGTCTATTTATTACTGCTTTAATATATCATGGAATGAATATGAGTAGGACTTTTAATATCTATTTATTGAATATTGAAGTTAATCGTAAGTGATTCTATGCACATTATTATCTTCTTAAACATACTTTATTCTAATGTATTAGCTCATGAGTATAAACTATATTTGATGAACTAATGTAGATGAGAAGATACGAGTAAATAACAAGTGAATTTAAAACTAAACTCCATTGCACAAGTAAGTGGCTATCATGACTGCGTAGCTCAGTGGATAATGCGATGACGTTTGAGGAGAACGGTACTGGGTTCGAGTTTCACAGTGAACACCAAATTTGAGATGCAGGTGCATCCAGCTGATGAATCCTAAATAAGACGAAACGCGTGTCCTGGATTCCACTATTAGAAACTATCAATTTTTGACTATAAACCATCTATATAGCATCTTATAAAGCATCTGCGTCATTGTAAATTATTCTAAACAACTTCCTACAGTTTCCAGCAACTAATCGCCGTGATTGCATAAACCGCAATATGGTAATCTTTATTTACCAATATGGCATAGAAGAAATGTCAGTGACTTCATGAACTGATGCGGTGATTTTATCTAAAAGCTCCTATCCTTTTTCCAATACACTCAAACATCCGTAAATATCATCTGTCGTTGGAACATTTAACTCGTTAACGAGAGCAGTGATTGAAATAGTCTAACCAGTAGAGGATTATTTTTTTCTGGACAAACGTAAACTAATATTTTCTACTTAATACATACAATCGACGTCAGGTAGTTGATAGTTATAGCCTTAAGTAAATGTAAGATAACCGGAGTTTGGTAGCTTGATATTCGCCCAGAAATATGTCCATTTATTCTAGTGAATGTTTACATCAATTCTATGCATGAAAATCATAACATCCATATGACTTGAATATTATCAGAGCTTAACGCAAACAATGAAAGGTAAGAGACAAGAAGATGTGCTTACATAAGCGAACAAATGACAAGGTCAAAATGTGATTTGAGAAGAATGAATAGATTGATCGCTCCAAAAACTAGAATAACCAATATGGGCTGAACATAAGACCAGTCACATCATGGTAACCGAGTTGTTTATTGTTTACATGGTAATTGAATCTCTTAGCTTTGTTGTTCATTATTTCCAATCTGCTTTTTCTCTCGTTATTTTAGTCATCTCTAATGAAACTACAATATCTACCGAAATGTCAACAAGTAAATCCACCGAAAATAAACTAGATATTTCATCAGTAACAACATCAACTCCAAGATTTATGTCAGTCGTTACCAGTCCAGAATATAATTTCATTAGTGATGGTATATCTTTTGAACCTTTTGAAAATGCTCTACCTCCATTATTTGATAGTGAGTTCTTTTGTTCTGTTTGTTTGTATGTTTGTTTTTCTTTTGGCAAAAAAATATTTCCATCTTTTATGTGATAGAATGTTACATATTTAGGCGCGACTATAATTTATGGACGAACCAATCAGATTTAAGATAATAGATCTTGGATTTCGGTGCGAAATTCATCCATCCATTTAGTTAAATTGCGTTTACGTATTTCAGCTAATGTCAATTCGTGATATAAACCATAAATCTTACGCTTAACCATAACCATCAACTGTAAATCATAATTCTATTTCCTTACACTGCTTTATAACCATCGTTTAGTCCTAGTTAGTAGGTGGACATTCTGAAGGTTAGTTTAACGTCGCACAAAAATCTTCTATAAATTATAGTATCACCATTCAAACAATAAAACAGCATTGATTTATTTATTTCAATCGACATAATTGAAAACATGTATGATATGATAATTTTCCTTGATGTGATGAGCATAAATTAGTGTTGTTAGTGGTCAAATATATCTAAATTCAGCTAAATCGTATTTCGACTGTTACTGAAATAAACATTCTATCAACCATCGTACATTTTCATCGACTAAATTCCACGTTAGAGAATAACGGAATAGAATATGTCGAATACGAAAATGAATTTTGAATTCGTATATTTTGCACACTCACTGATTCAGACAGACAATCTCAGACACGAATTGAGAGAGGTCAACCGAAACGAAACAAACCGAAACATAGTGATATGCAGCTTAGATGGCAAGTGAGCTCAATCGTTTTGGTCAGTCGTTACTTAATATCTATATTCAGAAGAAAATAATATAAAAACACTTCATGAATACTGTCATGTCCTGATAAGAATAATGAGTGGCAAATTTGGGATCCATTTATGGACCAATACTATACGTAAACTTCTGTCGTATAATTGTTAAATAACTAAACTATTCATCCTCCCCTTATTGAAAACTTTATTTTGACCTATGAACCATCATTATACGTTTTACCATTCTTGAATTATGCCCTGTCTATTATTAGTCACTGTCTCCCACATTCACAGCCACATTTGGGCAAATCTTGTACAAATGTTATTTTCTATTTTATGCCACCTTGTGGTCTCTTTGTATGGTATATAAACTGAGTATGTTTGAAATATAAGTACTCATATTGCAGAGGCTGAGATTTGTGTTCTGGATAAATTGGCTAGGCTAGGCGGGAAGAATAACCGATCAGAACTCTAGGCTGCTTGCACGTGTTATACGTGTCCTTGGTCGGATCTATAAGTCACTGCTCTCTGATTGGTGGTATCGTCACGTCATACAATAAGAGGGTACACAGCACATAAGCTGTAACAAATAATCTAAACAATTAACACACATACTGTCATGTGAAGAACATTCAGATTAACTAAGCCGATTATGGACAAGATCAAAATGTGACTTGAGCAGAATAAGTAAATTGATCTGTCCAGAAGCTAGATTAATCTATATGGGATTCGTATAGTACCATCCGCCACAGTATTTTGAATATTTCCATTATGCTGAGCAATGACGTAATAACTTAATATATTAATTATTTTATATTCGTCATAATTTTAGAAAAAACTGGCGAGAGTATAAATTATAAACGAAGCAATCACATTAAAGATAACAGGTCTCGGATCTTGTCACGAAATTCATTCATCCATTTGGCTAAATAGAGTTTTGGCATCATATCTGATGTCAGTTGGTGATGAAAGCCGTAAATCTTACTCCTAACCTTAAGCATTAAGTATAATTCACAATTGCGATTCCTCACACTGGTTTGTAACCCTCATTTCGTCCTAGTTATTTTAGATGCACACTGACAAAATCACTTTAGCATCATTCAAAGGCCGTCCTTAGATTATAGTCTCACCAAACTACTTTATTTGTAGATGATATTTTAAACCATAAACGCATCATTATGATTACAGTTTTATAAGAAACCACCGTTGGTATTCATAGATGAAAGTTGATCACAGTAATTGTTGGCATTTCCTCGATATGGTCATGATGATGGATTGTTGTCAGCTGTGAAATCTAGGATATGAATTTCATTCTATTTAGGATTCACCAGTTGAATTTACCTGTATTCCAACACTGATATTCTCCCATTGATACGAACTCAATATCTTTCGATTTAAACGACTAACTGATGTGAACGGGGAAACAAGAAGCCCTGACAAACTACGAAAGCTGTTTATCGGGACGTTATTTTATTCAAAGCTTGTAAAACATTGACATTTATTTTTGTCCCTATTTTATTCTATAGGACATGAGCTTTCCTTCGATGTATCATTCATTGCCATGCCACTTTTTGTTCCGAGGCTATTGTAATTTAAACATAGTATTTTGCACTTTATTTTCTACCCTAATTCCCAGTTTCGGACATAAATGTATTTTTCCAAATTATTGAACGTTGTGGTCAGGTAAATCACCTAGTTATTCATGTACCTTTTTGCACTTTTCATGAATTTAGAGATTTCACATAAAAATCAGGATTACGCAATACGGCCAATAGTGTTCCAACTGTCTTGTCTTCTCTTCTCTTATTTGCGTGCTTGTCAGTCAATCAGGTGCTAGAATAGTTCTCTTCTCTCTACCCCACCTCGAACTCACGTGTACTAGCTTCAAGGTTAAACCTATCGGCCAATTGCGTCAAGGTCTTAATCTAGAGTAGACAGATCAAGGTCATAACACTAACTCATTATATTTTTAAGTAATTCACTATCTAACTTGACTCGTCAGTTTGAACAATGCATTTAGCATTTAAAGAAAGGGGTGATGGTTTTAAGTCACAGTGTGGAAATTAACTCTGAATTGCTGATATATTCAGCTGATGAATCAACAATAAAACGAAATGACAATCCTATCCTTCTATTGCTAGTGATTATCCATCTACTCTTAAACATTACTGCATATTTCTCCGGCTATATATATATATATCTTAAAATATTTGATATTCCAATTTCTACTTCTCATTTAGAACTTACGATAGGACAAATTGAGGCATTAATCTACAAAGTAGAATCAAGGGGTTTAATGGAATGGTCAGATAATTTAAGTATACCTACAAGTGCATTTTACTTAAATTTATCATCACAAATTCAATATCTGGTAGGTATCAATATTAATTTTTTGTATTTTTAAATTGAATATTCAAGTAGATCATCATTTCTAATTGTTTTTCGAGTTTACGTTAACATATTACTTAAGATGATTTATGAGTAATAAGTAAGGAGTCAGTGGCTGAGTGTATAACGTGATGGCGTTTGTAGCGATTGGTACTGGGTTCCAGTCACAGAGTGAACATCAACTCTGAGATGCATGTAAATCCTGCTGACGAGTCCTTAATAGAATGAAACGCGCGTCCTGGATTCCACTACTAGCCACTATCCATCAATGCTTACGAAACGCCTGTGAATTAAGGTAATATTGAGACACACGCACAGCATGCACATATGCCAATAACAGACTGATCAATCGCAGGCTTAAACCTTAATGGGAAGATACAACCAAACAATACCAAGTGAAGAAAGATTATGTTTGTCTGATATTTACTACTGACTGGAATATATCTATAAGGATGTTATGTAACTTTAGATGTCCGATCTCTGACTCCAATTGAATCGTATGGATCTTATTGAAAAATACATATCGTCAATCCTTTTATATAATAATTGACTTAATCTGGGTTAATGAATAACGGAATTAAATAAGTCAAGTACGAGAATGTATTTTTGAATACGTATATTTTGTACATTCATTGACCTGGACAGACAATCAGACTGACGAAGCGAAGAGAAGAGAGCGAAGCAAAGTAGAAGACATATGAGCCAACTCGATTCAATCAAGCGTTAATCGATAATTATAGCCGAACAAAATAAGTAAAAAAAAAATGATGAATAGGATAAGAAGTGCACACATATACGCTCATATAAAATCAGTCAAGGTTGATAATTGAATAATCGACAAGATCAAGATGTGACTAAACATATGAATAGATTGGCCTATCCGGAGTCTAGAATAAGCTATATGAGTTGGTGTAGTAACCGATACTACATAACCACATCACGTATAAAATATAGCATACTCACTTATAATTAAGATTATACACGTTCGAATTTAATGAGCCCTTTAGTTAACTTATTCACTATGCAGTGTCATTCATGGCATCAACGAATTGCTTGCATCATTAAGTTGTCATCACCATGCTTCTTAGATCAGGTATGCTTGATCACTTGTTACAGCTCATACACATATTCCTCATATCAGACTAAAGTGGTCGATGATTCAGTCTGTTGCTTATGTTTTTGTGCTATTGAAACTTTAATCATTCATCCATTCTCATTTTCGTTCGTAGTCGCTTCATGTTCTTGGGGGCTTCGTGAACTGTGCTGTACGATAGAAGACTGAAGTCAACGCTTATTATCGTCTTTTGAAATCTATACACCGTAGGAGATATCTAATGGTAGTTGTCAGGACGAGCGATGTATAAAGTTGAAGAATTGTGTTTAAGACATCCGACTGCATCTCAATCTCGAATGAAATAACATTGGTTATGATTCAGCTATTATTCCATTTTAAATATCGAAATTCTTAAGAAACTTGATTGTTTCTCCGATAGCTGAGTGACTATGGTTCGAATCATACAGGGAGCATCAATTCCATCAGTATTGAAGTTAAGCCATGTTGATGAATAACTACAAATTAAATTATCTACGATCATGATAATGTGGTGAATATATTCTAACATAAACATACTCTTCTAAAACAGGCGTCATGTAATCCGCTTATGATGCCAAAAATCTCCGGATACTTTAGAATAAATAACTTTCCTATTTTTCTATGGACTGATATCATTTTAGTATAGGGAGAATTACTGGAGATCAAAAAATTTCCATGGTATATCAACGACAAACTGATCTCAGCTAGACTACATTAAAAACGTGAAATCTTTGAGTAGCTGTTTTGCCATTAAATGTAACTCGTCAGT